GAAAAACCTCACTAACCAGAAGAAACCGGTACAGAGGCGGGAAGTAGTTGTCTGCACCACAGAAAGTTGGTGGGAGAAAACGTGTGCAAGAAAACGGTCTCCACATAGGGATGACACGAAAAATGGCTTCAAATCAGAAAGGAAAAGCTGATGGGAAAGGGCTGGTGCCTTAATCCTTGCAATGCAGGCGTGCATTAGGTGACTCTAAGCTATGGAGATTCCTGATAGAGACATGGTTGTCTGAATTTTTCCAGTTATTGTGATAAAATAAAATTCCTATAATAAATTAGAGGAAATGAAACTAAAATAAAAGACTGTGTCTTAAAAAGGAAGAGGCTTTAACCCCTTCATAGGTAGACTCCTGCCATGATTGTCACCAGATCCTTGGGAGAAGGGGTTAGAGGAGAAATTTCATGAAGGCGACTGGAAGAGAGGACTAGGAAGCACCTCGTGAACACAACAGTAGGAAATGGAAAAAGGACAAAGGGAAGAAATTAGAAAATAAGAATTCCCTTTTTACTATTCTGCATCCATCTCTTTTCTTCCAATCCCCTTTACACCTTTATTTTCAACTCCACAGGCATGAGAGTCTCTGGGCGGGGCTTCTTCCTGCCGCTCCTGGCACCAGTTCATCTCCAATATTGCGGCCTCTTCTTCTGCCCAGGACAAAACTCTAGTCTCCTCTCCGCCCAGAGATCTCTGGACTTAAGTACAGAATGAATGCTACACTCCAGCATTCAAGAGCCTCCACAATATATCTGAGCTCATTTTTCCACCTTTGGTCCCCCTTGACTCCTAACAGGTAGGCTGTCCACACCTTCTCTTGCTCCTTACACATTTGTCCATTCTCCTGGCCCTGTTCATGCTGCTGCTCCATCTAGAGCCATGCTAGTTATTATGGCAGGCACTACCCACAGCTGGCCTATTGAGAGCTTGATCAGTCTGAACTGAGCCAGACTATGAATGTAAACATGTGCATCATATTTTGAAGACAGGATGAAAAAGAAGAAAGTAATTATCTCATTAATAATTTTATATTGATTAGTGTGTTAAAATGACCCTATTTGGATATATTATGTTAAATAAATGTACTATTGAAATTAACTTTACCTTTTTAATGTTTCCTTTTACTCTTTAACGGGGCTACTAGAAAAATTTTAATTGCAGATGTGGCTCACATTACAGTTCTTTTGGACAGCGTTCATCTAGAATTCCCCCTCTACCCTATCACCTTCACCACAATCATCACTTCTTTAGAAGCACTGCTTGCCTCCTTATTCTCCCCATCAGCTGTAACTCCTGTATCCTTTGAGAGCCACCATCATGGCGATGGCCATGGGTTGGCACCCTGGACCTATCTGAAGGCACTAGCTCTTGTCTACCCCATCTTCTAACTATGATATATGGAAATAACACAGGTTTGAATGCAATCCACTCATTTGGTTAGCTGTGTGTATTTTAGGTACATTATTTAGCCCCCTCTTTGAGCATCAATCTCTTCCTCTGCAAAATGGGAGTAACGATAACCCATCTCAAGTGTTTACTATGAGGATTATCCAGAGAATGACACACAGTTACTGCCCAATTTGTGGTACCTAATATTACTGCCACTACTGCCCCACTATTATTTTAGATTATGCACTCTTTGATCATAGAGGATCAGAGACTATCAGATGTGGGCAGGATGAGGAGGCCCTTTGCCTGAGCCATAGGAGCTCAGCTCTACATGAGTGTGCAAGTCACCCTGGAAGAGCAGGTCCTAGTGACCAAACTCCTTGGACGACCTCCATCCCTCCATTAGTGCAGTGGACCATCTCTAAGTTGACTTGCCTCTGTAACTACTTGCATTGGCCTTTGTGCCATGAGCCGTGGATGATTCCAGTCTAATCCAGAGATCCTTAACAAGAAGAAGAAACCCTGAAGAATGACTTAATGATGGACATAACTGGGCATCTGAAAGTGGAACAGCTGTGGGATGATTTTGCTTTTGCAAAAACTCATTGTGAAGAATCCAGGGGATGACTGAGGTTCTGTTCAGAGCTGGAATGCGAAGGTCAAAAGGCCAGAGAGAATGAAATCAGGGCAGAACACCCAGAAAGACTGGGGCTTACTGGTTCTCTTTTAGAGTAGATTATTCTATAAATGAAAGTATACATTCACTGGTATAAAAATTGGAAAGCCACATAGAGAAAAATTGCCACCCTTTTGTTATACAAGTCAAACATAACCACTATCAAAATGTTGCTATATTTCTTTTATTAATTTTTTCTCTACATACTTTTGCATAGCTGTGTTGTATGTACACTTTCATAGTCTCCTTTTAATATAAGTGGGTGTTTTTCTATTTTCTAATGGCACAGTAACATATTTTCAGTATAGAAAAATTTTAAATGTGAATAAAATGGAAGTTAAAAATTTACATTTACTGAATTCTTTTTTTTTATTTTTATTTATTATGATAGTCACACACACACAGAGAGAGAGAGAGAGAGAGAGAGAGAGAGAGAGAGAGAGGCAGAGACACAGGCAGAGGGAGAAGCAGGTTCCATGAAGGGAGGCTGATGTGGGACTCAATCCCGGGTCTCCGGGATCATGCCCTGGACTGAAGGCAGCACTAAACCACTGAGCCACCCAGGCTGCCCCCCAGATATCTTCTGATCAAGGGAATAAACACACATCAAAAGGTTCTCATGTAAAAAGTGAAAAGGGAAAGAATTTCCTTCTTCCTACATCCTTGTCCTTGTTAGCATTCTCCCTCTTGGTAACAATTAATACCAGATGAGTAAATGTGTCTGACAAAAAAACTAAAAAAGAAATTATATGCATGTATCAGCATATATACATATATATCTCTATTAATTTATAAAACAAATGATAACACCATATCCATTATTACATATATTACTCTTTTCGTTAAGTATATCTGGAATATAGGTCTGTATCAGCTGATCTTCCTTTTTAATGGCTATATAGCATTCCATTTTTGTCTACCATGGTATTACTTAATCAATTCCCCAATGATGGATATTTAATTTGTCTTTCGTACTATGGCAGTACTGCAGTGAACATTCATATATGTTCATACATTATATTCACACACATATACACATATTCCTGCAGGAATATCCAAAGGTAAGTTCTCAGCAGTGATATTGCAAATTAAAGGGACAATTCCATAGCTTGAAATATTAAATCTGGAAATACATTGCCAATTCCCATGTGATCTCTCCTTGTGAGCTGACTTGGGCTTTCTCACAGCATGGCCGACTCAGGGTGGTCAGATCACTTATGTAGTGGCTAACTGGCTGCAAGAGCAAGAATTTCAGCTAACAAGGTAGACATCTTATTGTCTTTCCGGATTCAGGCTCAAAAATTATACATTGTTTCTACCATAGAATTCTGCCCAGATTCCAGAGGAGGGATACAGACACTCCCTCTTGATAGGTAGACTCACAGTCAGGCTATAGATTTTCACTTGGGATGGGAGATATTGTTCTGGCTACTTTTAAAAAAAACAATCTTCCCCATTCTCCAAACATTTGCATAAATTTATACTTCCATTGGGTGTATATTAGAATATTCTTTTCCCATGACTTTTTCAAATCTTACTGGTGAAAAATGATTGCTTCATTTCTAGTATGATTTACATTTCTTAGTAACATGAACAGATTTTCATAGCTTTCTTGGCCCTTAATATTTCTTTTCCTGATACCTGGCTATTCACAAACTTTTCTGACACCTTTCTATTAATTTTAAGGGCTGCTTGTATGTGAATAAAATTATCCCTTTCTCACTCTGCATTATAACAATGTTTTTGATACTGCTTTTCCTCTTTAACTTTGTTTTTTTGTCATTGAAATTTATAACTTGTTTCTAGTCATATTTATCAATATTTTCTATTATAGTTCTTGGGTTTTATATCTTGCTGAGAAAAGTCTTCTTCATTCCAATGTTTTTTTAAAAAATAAAAAAACAAGTTTTCTTTTAGTTTTAGTCATTTTAGCTTATAATCTGCTCCAAATAATGTTATATGGACTATATAATGTTGTACCATCTTTGGTTTCCTGAAAATAACTCCCTTTGGCCAATCCTCCCATTTTCCTTCTAGACCTCTTTCTAAATTGTTGTTTGCAGGAGAGTGGAAAATCAGATGTTTAGGTTTGTTAGAACTATGTACAAAATAAGAATACATTGATTCTCAATAATGATTGCAAAAGACCCTGTAAGGGGAGCCACAAACTTTTATACATGGCTCACATAACATTCATTTTTCTGTTTAAAGATATTGCTTAGTTCCTGGTTTTCAGTTACATTCTGGATAGCTGAGATTGCCAGATAAAACAGTAAATAAGACTAATAAAGCTATATGCTGTCTTGCTGTGTGTGGGTAGGGTCCTACAAAAAATATTCACATCAACTTAGTTTTAACACTATTCTATTTTACAGGGGGGAAAAAGGATAGGTGTCTTTTTAAATCATAAACTGCATTTATTTATTGTTTTGTGATACTGTAATTGGGAATTAAGCCCAATTTTTATGAAAAAGGCATCTTGCACACAAAGACCCACCTTCCAAAAAAAAAAAAAAAAAAAAAAACAAACAAAACCCACCTCATAATACTAAAAAAGAAAAAGAAAAAATCTTTGCCAAAGGAGGAATCCTGTAATGGTCAAGCTCTAAATGATTGGGCTTACTTTTTTTCTTTAGTAATTGGGAACTCACTATAGCAAAACATTGGAAATCCTCACAGTTTTCCAAGTCTTTTCCACAATGTACATAAAAATAATGGAAGGCCTTAAAATAAATGAACAAACTAATTTAAATGACATAGGAAAAATGAAAGGGAGAACTGAAAGTGGGAAATTCCTCTGAGATAGAAAGAGGACCATCCTGTATAAATAGGGCTACACTCCTGGTAGAAGGGCATTTGCGCTGTGAACTCTTAGAGCTTTGACTTCAGCATCGAGATGGTAATAGGTGAGACTCTTCCCATTTTCATCATGACCGGTCGATGCATCCTCCAAACAACTCTCCTGCTGTATTTCTCCACCATGGCTCTTGCCATGAGCAACGACTTGCTTCGATCCCAACTAAGCAGCAGCAGTTTGGAGTGTCAGGAGCTCCTATTACAGTTGAATGGAACCACTGAATATTGCCTCAAGGACAGGATAAACTTCGAGATCCCTGAGGAAATCGAGAAATCACGCCAGTTCCAGAAGGAGGACATCATATTGATCACCCATGAGATGTTCCAGAAGATCTTTGATATTTTCAGGAGAGACATCTCTAGAACAGGATGGAATGAGACCACTGTCGAGAACCTTCTTGTGAAGCTCCACGGGCAGAAGGAACATCTGGAGATAATCCTGGAGGACGTCATAGAGAAGGAAAACTTCACCTGGGACAACAGGACTCTTCTGCACCTGAAGAAATATTACTTAAGGATTGTGCAGTACCTGAAGGCCAAGGAATACAGCATCTGTGCCTGGACAATAGTCCGAGCAGAAATCTGCAGGAACTTTTTCTTCCTTAATATACTTACAGATTATCTCCAGAACTGAAGATCTCTCAGCCTCTGCCTCTCGGAATGGACGATGCTTGACAAGGATTTCAGGCATTCCTCAACTGGCAGATGCTCTGTAAGTGACAGCTACTGTACTGCATTTGAAAGGACAAAGACTTTACATTTTTTGTACTAAGTTATTTGATCTATGTACTAAGTTATTTTCCTATTTATTTAAACTTTCACCCTAGAAAATAAATTTCTTTTTATGAAACAAAAATCAACATGGAATTTTAATTTCAATTTCATTAGCATCATGTCGAAAATTATGGAGCACCTAAAAATTACAATTCTTTATATATTGTGCCTGCAAAATTGTAGAGATTCTTGCCTCTAGCCTTCAAGGAATTTAAAATCCAAAGAAGCCATGTGGAATATATAAAATGATGGATGATAAGGGGAGGTGAACCGTTCAGGAGAATAAATGTGGCCTCGGCCTCTTCAGAATTGAAATGGAAGAGGCAGACAAGTGGCTCTGGAATTAGAACAAGGAGGTTCCATTGCTTCTACTCTGCTTCTCCTCTGTACCTTCAGGCTCTCTGATCCTAAAGTTAGAATTTGACTAACAGGGCAACTAGAGGAATATTTCAGCTCTTATGTTTGCCCTAAACTTATTCCTAATTCCTATTATATTCAGGGTGCTCTGCTTGCCCCACACCCTCCCAACCCCACAGGATTTTAAAATATTTATGTGCCCCCCTAAGCTAAGGGTGAGAAGTCCCAGGCACTTCTGTGACATTGTGAAGCAAGCAGTCCTTTTCTTGTACTCTTCCCTGACAGCTAAGATGTATAGCAGTCTCAGTGGAGCTGGGGATCTCTTCCTGTTTCCAGGGCACAGGCACCATAAGAATAAAGAATTCTGCTTTCTATCTCTGCTATCTGGCTAGATTTTTCTACCCATTTGGCAGAAAAGCAAATCTGCTCCTGGTCCCCCCTGCCCTGTTCATACAGAATTCCAGGGCTACCTTATCAACTTCTCCTGATGCTCTGCATCTCTGAAGCCCCACGCACCCCTAAATCCAAATCCAAGACAAGTGTGGCAGATTAAGTCATTTCTGTCAAGTGAAAAACCAGGAAGCATGGCTCAGGAGAGGGAAATTCAGGTGGGATAGAGAGTGTCCTGATGTCTCTCAAGGACTACGCTGAAAAAATACAATTTTCCTAGGAGGTCCTGGGGCACCTGGCCAGCATGTACCAATTGGCTGGGTTTCTGTCTTCGCACTGAAAGCCTTGGGAATTTAGACTATCATGGGTGCTCCTGTCTTTAGCAGCTGCCATCCAGGTGCTGCACTCCGCGCCCATGTATGTAATTGGATTTAAGTCCACCTCACAAGCACCCCTCCAATGGGCACAACTCCATCACTGCTGTTCTACAGCTCCAGCAACGAAGTCTCTCAGGTTGAGTCACTGCCCCCAGGTCACACAGCCGATGCGTGGAGGTTTAAAAAATGCAATGGGCTGAATCGTATAAGACTTTGTTCGCATCTAAGCGTTTTCTGCTAGACCAGTAGGGAAGTCTGAGTTCTGTCAAAAAAACGTCAGCGGAGATGCTACCGCAGGGTGCAGACAATGAACTTGAGGCTCCCTCTTCTGGCCGTAAGACACCGGCTATGAACCAAGAAGTGCTACGTGCCCTCGCAGATCCAAGGCCTTGGGCCTACGATAGCCAGCGGAGGCCTGGCGAAACAAGGAACCCTCCCTCTCCTCAAAACAACTCACACTCCACCCCCACCACACCCCTTTTGCGGGGCTACAAAGACAAGAAAATGCGGACCAAGGGGCAGTGGTTAGAAGAGCCAAGAAGCCTAACTCTTGGCAAGGGGTGCCAGCTGCCCATCACCTTCCCTGCGCCCACCTTACTGAAGGAGTCTCAGCAAGAGGCTCTTCTCTGCTCACCACCAAGTGGGCCCAGGAACCCAGAGGCTGGGGAGGTCTGCTCTGCATGTGTGCTGGGAGCCAGAGGACAGAGGCAAGGCTCCTTCTGCAGAATTATAAATATTTATGCCACAGCTGAGTGTGTCAGCCAGTCTACAACACCAAAAGTCTGCCCATCACTAGGAGAGCATAAATGATCATTAATATTAATTCAAAAAACACGTGTGTGTGTGCCTATGCTAAATGGATGGCCACATGTAAAGGAGTACAGTTATTATTTTAGCTGGCACCAGAACACATCAAAAGAGAGTACTCATTTAGAAAAATATTGATGAGCCTCCCGAAGTTGTGGATATGGCAACGCAAAAGGTAGTGCAATGCCAATAGTACGTTTCTGTGTGTCTGTTTCTGAGGAGGAAAAAGACAGAAGCCCATCGGATGGTCTGGAGCTGTGGTCATCCCTGGAATAAAACAGCAGTGAAAATTTTCTGGTAGGGGCAAAGAAAGGGCTTTTAAAGACCTTCTTTTTTTTTTAAGATTTTATTTATTTATTCATGAGAGACACACAGAGAGAAAGAGGCTGAGACACAGGCAGAGGGAGAAGCAGGCTCCATGCAGGGAGCCTGATGTGGCGCTCGATCCTGGGACCCTGGGATCATGCCCTGGGCTGAAGGCTGCACTAAACCACTGAGCCACCGGGGCTGCCCTTTTAAGGACCCTCTTAAGAAAATGAAAAGATATGTCACAGACTGCGAGAATATATTTGTAAGTCACAGATCTGATAAAGGATATATCAATTCATAAAGAACTCTCAAAACATGATAACATCCTCCATAAAGATGGACAAAAGAGTTCAACACTTTGGGCCGCCTGGGTGGCTCAGCGGTTGAGCATCTGCCTTTGGCTCAGGGTGTGATCCTGGGCTCAGGGATGGAGTCCCACATCAGGCTCCCTGTGAGGAGCCTGACTCTCCCTCTGCCTGTGTCTCTCCTGAATAAATTTTAAAAATCTTAAAAAAAAAAAAGATTTCCACACCTTACCAAAGATGGTACACAGAAGACTAATAGATGATCAATATCATTAGTTGTTAAGGAAATACAAATTAAAGCCATAGTGAGATACTACTATGTGCTTATTAGAAGGGCTAAAGGTAAAAAGACTGTATCAAGTTTTGGCAAGGATGTGGAGCAACTAGAACCCTCAAACACTGCTCATGGAAATAAAATATGGTACAACCACTTTGGAAATGATTTTGTAGGGTTTTTTGAGAATTTTATTTATTTGTTATTTGACAGAGAGAGAGAGCACAAGCAGGCAGAGCAGCAGACAGGGAGAGGGAGAAGCAGGTCTGCTAAGCAGGGAGCCCAACATGGGGCTCAATCCCAGAACTCTGGGATCATGACCTGAGCCTAAGGCAGCCACTCAACCAACTGAGCCACCCAGGTGCCCCCATTTTTGTAGTTTTTAAAAAGGTAAACATAGACCTACTATTTGACCCAGCCATTCTGCTCAGTTGTTTACCCAAGAGAAAGGGTGAACCCACGCACACACGGACTTATATATGAATGCTGGCAGGAGCATTATTTATAATATCCCTCAAATTCAAATGATTAAAGAAATTGTAGGTGCACCCAGGTGGCTCCCTTGGCTAACCTTCCAACCCTTGATTTTGTCTTTGGTCATGATCTCAGGTTCATGAGCTTGAGCCCTGTAACAGGCTCCACGCTCAATGGGGAGTCTGCTTAAGAGTCTCTCTCTCCCTCTCCCTCTCCTCTTCTCCTCACCCCACTTCCACCTCATGCTCTCTAAATAAATAAATAAATAAATAAATAAATAATCTTTTAAAAAATAAATTCTGGTATATCCGTAGAGTGGAATACTATTCAGCAAAGGAACGAATCCCCAGCACACATAACATGGATGAATCTCAAATAATTATGCCAAATACAAGAAGACAGATTTTATTTTTTATTTATTTTTAAAAAGATTGTATTTATTTATTTGAGAGAGAGAGAGAGAGAGAGAGAGAGAGCACTAGCCAGGGGAGAGGCAGAGGGAGAGGGAAGGGGAGAAACAGACTCCTCACTGAGTGCAGGGCTCCATCACAGGGAGCCAAAGCATCTTTCATCCCTTTGTCAGAATCAACATACATTGTTTGATGTCCTAAGATCCCTTAGTAAGATTCCAAGGTAAGATGAAATCAATAGGCCCTTAGGCAAGAAAAATTATCATAAACTCTAAGTTCATCACTGTCAGCCTTTGCATTGTTAGGGGTTTTTATGTCACATTCACACGAGTCTTTCATATTTTAAAAGGTTGCCCAAGAAGTTGATCAATAGCTTCACATTTTAAAACCCTGAGAGGAGTCCAGAGCACTTTAAATGTTGCACCCCTGCACCACATGCATTTCAAGCTGCAGAATATCCCATCTGGTACTCAAGGAAACTACTTCATCTTTTTTTTACTGTGGTACAATATATGTGACATAAAATGTATCATTTAAACCACTTTCAAGTGTACAGCTTACACATATTTGTGCAACCTTCACCACCATCCATGTGTAGAACTTTGTTATCTCCCCTAGCTGAACCTCTGTGCTCATTAAACACTAATTCCCTGTTTCCCTCTCCCACCACCCCCTGGCAACCACCATTCTACTTTCTGCCTCTAGGTGCTTCATATAAGTTGAATCATATAATATGTGATTGCACATCTCCAAGTTTCATCTATGTTGTAACATCTGAGAATTTCCTTTCTTATTAAGGCTGAATAATATTCCATTGTGTGTATATACCATGTTTTAGTTACCCGTTCATCCACTGATGAACTCTTGAGTTGTTTCTATCTTTTGGCGACCATGAACAACGCTGCTGTGAACACCTGCTTGAGTCCCAGCTCTCTTTTAGTGGAATTGTTGGATCACGTGATAATTCTATATTTAATTCTTTGAAGGATCACCAAAGCAACAGTTTTTAAGTTATGTCTTCATAGTGCAAATATTTGCAATAATAACAGAATGCAAACACAACAATAACAGCCCCATTTCTTAAAGACATGTTCTGCAAGGGGCTCTGCTAAGGGTGTTATAAATATACACCATCTTATTTCATTCTCCAGAGAAGC